TTTTTTTTCTTTACAGCCGCACAAACTGGGGTGGCGGTGGTAACTATTCATGTAATCCTGTATCCATCCTATAATGTTGCAATTAAAAGTTGCCTTCTTTGACTTGGAATTAAAAATTTGAGGGCCAGATTTAGCTCAGTGATACCACCACCTGCCTTGCAAGTACAAGGTGTCGAATTCAATCCCTGGTACCAAAAAAAAGTAAAACTAAACATAAAATTTTAAAAATTTTGACTTTTTATTTGATTAATTGATTGATGATTACTGATTGCAGTGCTGCAATTGAACCCAGAGCCTTTGTACTGAGTTACATTCCCAACCCTTTTATTGTTTTTATTTTCAAACAGGGTCTCACTAAATTTCTAAGTTACCCAGTCTGGGCTCAAACTAACAATCCTCCCGCCTCAGCCTCCCAGCGTGCTAAGATTACAGCTCTGTGCCACCATGCCCAGCTAAACGGGTTTATTAAGCAGAATCAAAGCCATACACACTCAGAAGGAAGATGGGACATCCAACAGTGAGGCTGGAAGTCTGATTTATGTTATCTCATCGGATTGCTAAGAAACCTCTTGCCACTCCATTGCTGGATTCCCTTGACGTCACTCCATGCCGGTGAGATCACCAGCAGTTCCTGTTCCATGAACTCCTACTGTGTCACTAGTGAATAAGTGGAAATAATGTTCAATCATTTTTTGGCCTCAAGAAGAAAAAAAGGTTAGGGTCCATGGAAAAATCAGCTGTTTTATCTGGCGAATCTGGTGATGGTACATGTTTCCTTCTCTCTTTAGGCTGTTGGGTAGCTCAGAACTAAAACTGGGATCCATCTTGACCAACTTCTCAGAATTTATGGTTTGTTTTTGTGTTCTGACTGTGTCCATGGATTAATCTTTTTTTAATCATTTACATATTTTCATTTCCCCATTTACTCTTCTTTGGTTTGTTTTGAAGTATATATCTATGTAAATAGATATCTGAGTAAACTATCAGAAATACTTTTTTTTTTTTTTTTTTTTTTTTTTATTTAGCCCAGATGAACTTGGATACAATCAGCTAAATCAGACTGTGGGAAATGCTAACGAACAAATGATCCAGTTTCTTAAATAAATTGAAAGGGACGGGAGAAGGAAATGGAAAAGAACCGGACTAAAAGAGATTGAGATAATCCTCATCCTTTGTTGTTGGGAATGTCAGATCTGCAACCACTTGGGAAAAGAGTCTAGTAATTTCTTTAAAAGTTAAACATGTATTTAGTATATAACCCCACAATTCCAACCTTAGGCTAACTACTCGAGAGAAATGAAAACACATGTCAAGGACTAGTCCAGGAATGTTAGCAGCAGCAGCAGCAGCAGCAGCAGCAGCGTTTCTCATAAAACCCCAAACTGGAGGCAGCCCCTATGTCCATCAATTAGTGGGTTAATTTTCTTAAACCATGGTACATTCATCCAAAAAAAGTACAATCAGCCATAAAAAGCAATGAATTGCTGACACACACAACATAAAGGAACATCCATGCCTTGGACTTACTGAAAGAAGCCAAGCGCAAAAGGTCATGTGTTGTATGGTTTGGTGGATGCGAAATTTGTAAAAATTGGAAAACCAGGGCACAGAAAACAGATCGGCAGGTACTGAGGCTGAGGCTGGGGAGAGGGTGATGGCAAAAGGGATGAGTGAAACTTTAGGGTGATGGAGACGCTTGAACACTACGGTATTCAAAATAAAACTGTGGTGTTGATCAGGCAAATGTATAGGGCCCATGAGTAGTCATCAAATTGTACAGTGGCAGTGTGTGAATTTTGTGGTATGTCCTATAGTTTGGCACTTTAATGCTCTCAAAAGCTTGGGTGTTGAAAACTTGGCGCTACTGGAAGGTGAAGAGTTGGGACCAAGGGAGAGGTCTTGTGTCCCTGCGGACATGCCTTTGAAGGGAATAGGGATCCCAGTCCCTCTTCTTTCTCTTTGTTTCACTTCCTGGCTATGAGGTGAATGGCTTTGTTGTGCCACGTGATTCCTGCCAACTGACCATGGACCGAAATCTCTGGAACCATGAACTATGATAAACTTTCTCTCTATATAAGTTGGTTGTCTCAGGTCTTTTATTACCATCCTGGAAAGCTAGTTACTATACTATGTAAATTATCAAGGAAAAATGAAGATTTAAACACTGGCCAGGAATTTGATCATGTTAAGGCATCATTAGTATTCTTGTAGGGGTAAAAATAGCATAGTGGTTATGTTTCCAAAACAAATTATTATCTTTTTGAGATATACACTGACTTCTATGAAATGATACAACATCTGAGTTTTGCTCCAAAATCATATGAGAAGGCTGGGGTGGGTGATAGCTAAAATAGCCTTGACTATGAACTGAAGACCAGTGTGGAAGCTGGGTGACGGGTGCATGCGGGGTGATTTTACTATGCGCCTTCTTTTGTTTGTTTTTAGCATGTCCATAATTAAACATTTAAAAAGATGAGCTTGGGAGTCTTAAAGCCAAGACGAAGACAAATGAGCTGCAGAGCCTCCCCAGGTCACTGACCACATCTGGCGGGAATGAGGCGGGGCCGGCCCATTGTTTTGCCTGCTCAGCACCCGCTCCCCTTCCGCTAACAGTAACCAGACTTCGCTTTGAGGACCAGCCAGCACGCTGCGTGCGGTCCACTGCTGGCCCAGGCCTGGGCACAAAACCTCCGCAGAGCCAATCAGCCACTCTCCCCTGGGGACTCTGATGCAAGAAACGGAAAACGTAGAGCTGATTAATGTTAGAGGGGAATCCTGGGGGACCTGCCTTGGGATCCTGCCGCTAAATTCCCATGGCAGCCCTGGCTCCTACCATTTCCAGAACATGGATCTTGATTTTCTTTGGTTCTTGAACTGCCCAGTATTGGCCCAATAAATTCACTTTTTGTTTACATTGGCCAGGGTTGGTTTCCATGGCTCAAAACCAAAGCCATCAATTGTTCTGTTTTTCCTCTTATGTCTTCCTTTCCCTTCAGCTGATGCAGACAGAAGCTTAGAAGTCCTTAGATATTAAAACCTACACATGTCAGTCTGATCATCAAAAGAGGAAGCAGCTGAGGCAGCACCCGCCTTTAACCCTAAGCACTCTGGGAGGCTGAGACAAGAGGATTGCAAGGTCCAACCAAGATTGGTCAATTTAGAAACTTACAGTGACACTATCTCAAAATTTAACAAGTAAAGAGGCAAAAGGTGTAGCTCAATGTGAAGGCCCTAGATTCAATTCCCAGTAACACACACACACACACACACACACACACACACACAAAAACAAAAGCAGTTACAAACACCACAAAGACAACCAAATCAACACTTACAAGCCCGTGCCCTGCCAAAGTATTCATTGAAAGCATCATCATTAATACAGAAATATCTATTTGGAACAAGAAAGTTCCACTGCCCTACACCACTGATGCTGTCCAGTAGAAATGACACAGGAGTCAAAACTACCAGATAAAGGTGATGTTTTAAATTTTCTAGCAGCAGCTTTAAAACAGTGAAGAGAAACATGAGTTTCATTTTAATAATTTATCTCACTGGATGTATCCAAAATGTGATCAGGTCAAACTATAAGCAATAGGGCCAGGGATTTAGCTCAGTCGTTCCAGTGCCTGTCTCAAAAGTGCAAGGTCCCGAGCTCAATCCGCGGTACCAAAATAACAAAACAAAAAAACCATAAGCAACACCAAAACTATGAATGAGATTTTTGCATTCCTTTCATTTTTACTAAGTTTTCAAAATCCAGTGCATGTTATATTTGACACTTGCAGTTCACATCAAGCTGGAGCGGCCACATTTGCAGGGCTCAGTAGGTGTATGTGGCCAGCATCTACCATGGTGGAAACAGGCCTATAAAATGCCCTGAGCACATTTCTGCAGGCATTCACCTAGGCTGGTCTGGTCATGGTCACCACATCTGCTCAGCTGTGCCTAGGGTTCCTCCTCAAGGCTCCTGGCAGAGTCCAGCTCCAAGGGGGTCCTCTTTCATGGGTGAGTTTGTCTGCGGTGGAGACTCCTACACCATGGTGACAGTGGACTGTGTAAGGCCAAGAAGTCTGGGGTGGGCCCGGTGACCAGGTCCAAAGGTATCTGTAGAGGAGGTGACTTTGAGATTCCGGAGAATCGAGCAGTGAATGGTGAAGGTAGAAGTTTAAAATCATTCTAGGAGAAGCAGAAGTAGGGTTGCTGTATAACCATTTACAGTGATCAACTTCCTGTTCCCAGCCCGGTGTGGAAGGACCTTAGAACTCCTTGCTCCCATCCATACAGCAAGAAAAAAAAACAGCTGAACAAATTGAAAATCAATAACACCTCTTAGATGTAGGAGGTCACAGCACAAACCTCTGCCCCCAAATTGAAGAGGGAAAAGTGGATGCGGAGAATCACAGCACCTAGAGCAGAAACCCATGGCAAAACTCTCAGGAACTGGTGCCAAGAGAGAAAAGTGGGATCTGCAAAGGACAGCTCTGGAGGCACTGAGTGGACATGTCTGAGAATTAAGAGCCCTGGGGGCCAGTTGTGGGGGTCCTCACAGTTTGCAGGGTTTTGCCTCCTAGGTCCTCCTTCCAGGTTCTCACCATAAAGATCAGGACAGAAATTACTAAGCAGAGTCTGATTAAGCAGAGACTTACTGTGTACAGTTAATCTTTTTTTGGTACCAGGGATCAAATTGGGACCTTGTGCTTGCAAAGCAGGTGGTGAAATGTGTACAGTTGATCTTCTCTATGCCTTATTTGTAGAATTGGAGTAATAGCCTTAACCCATTATGATGTCATCTGCTCCTGCAAAGCAAGGAGAGAGATGGACCTTTGGGACCTGATGAACTTCCAGTCCCTGCCAGTCCCAAGATTCCCAGCTGAGCAGCTTTGGGGACTTTTGTGCAGCTTACCCCAAAGCCCACATCTTCCAATGTACCACCATGCTGGCTCCCCATGTTACCTCCTTGCTGGCACCTACACTGCTGTGTGGCCTCTCCCGCAGAGATGGGGGATGACCTCTGGACATGGCACAGCTGGCATGAGGCCAGGTCACAAATGACCCTTGGCTCCCCTGCCCTGCCACGGAACCCCCGCCATGAGGTGAGCAGCTGCTATGCTGTGAGAAGGCTTGTGCCAATTTACAGAGGATGCAGGGCCTCCTGCCAATAGAGCACCAATTTCTCCAGTGTGCAAGGTGCCACCTTTGAGGTTTGGCAAACTTTCAGAATATTGGGCCCTGGCCACCTTATTTTCCCTCAGCCCCGCCTTCTCCCTCCTCTTCCTTTTTTCTGTATCACAGATTGAAGAGAGGTCTTTGCACTGAGCTATATTCCCATCTCTTTTTTATTTTATATTAAGACAGGGTCTTGCTAACCATCTAAGTTGTCCAGAGTGGATTCAAATTTGCCATCCTCCTGCCTCAGCCTCCCAGAGTGGTGGGATTACAGGAATGTCCCACTTCACCCAGCCCTGGCCAGCTTCTTGACCAACCCCATGAGACACCCTGAATGAGATACACCCAACAAAATACTTCCTGAACTCCTGACCCACAGAAACTGTGAGCTGAATTTTAAGAATTTTAGAGTCATTTGTTTCAAAGCAATAGACATATAGCACTTCTCTTTTTCTAAGTCCCAGTGCAAGCATATTCTGACAAGAGTATTTTCTCCCCCATGCTTTGGTTTGAACACATTTCCTGTGGTGTCAGAGTCAGACATATCTTTTCCTGAATTGGTGTTTAAAAAATATGTGTGAGTTATAAATGACAGAGTGGCTGTAGAAGAAAAACAAGTGAGCCTGTTGGAACAGGCTGGGGACACCTCATTCATCTCTCTTAGATGTTTAGGCTTTGCTCTGGAATGAATGAGAAGTGTTTATATAGAGGATATACTCTGCACCACACACACACACACACACACACACACACACACACACACGGCTTCAGGTCTGCATTTTAAACCAATACAAAGGCATAGCCTTTTTCAGAGATAAGAGTTGTAACCATGGCATTGTGTGAAATCTGAAGGTCTCAGTGAGCAGGCAGGAAGCAGGAAGGATCCAAGAAGGATGCAGAAGCAGCAGGACGTGACATCCAGCAGACAGGAAAAGGAAGGCACTGAAGAATGGTCTGAGCTCCCCAATCACTGCCAAGTGTGCATGGAGTGCCAGGCCTTCCGAGAGTCCAGTGTGGACCAGGCAGCTTTTCCACTGTGAGGATTCTCTTCCTTTGCCTCCTCCTCCAGCTTTCAGACCCAGCCCCTGTACGGGGGGAGGGGGTTTCCAGAGAGTCCTTGCTTGTGTCCTGATGACTGTATCCTGCTTTCTTGAACGTAGGTGATGTGATCAGAGGTGCAGTGCTTTAAATTTTTAAATATATTTATTATAGTAAAATGCACATTGTCATGACTCCCCTTCAGAGCATTTCCCAATTCAAACACACTCATCCACTGGGTGTGATGGCTGTGAAGGTAGGCCAATGTGAATACCCTAGGTTCAATTACTAGTGCAGTGTTTAAAAACATTGTGTCCTTTGCTTCTCTGATACATATTTACCTGTTTCATTTACTCACGTAAATATATACACATATATATTTAGATTAATAGATATATAATTGGCTGGTTTTTTTTTTTTAAATGCCTGTTTCAGCCCAAATGGACAGGGAGGAAGGCAGGGAAGCTTCCACCCTAGCAGGCCAGGTCCCTTCCTACACCACTATGTTGCTACACAGCAAACCTCACCCTGGACCTCCCGGGGTTGTCATTTACTTTTATTATGTCTTTGATTCATGTCTGTATCTCCTGCAATCTGAAAGCTTCACCAGGACAGGGACCACTTCTACTTTTTCATACTCAATAGTCATTAAATGAAGAAAATACACGTTTAGAGGGACCTGGCTGAATTAACAATCCAGTCACTGAAGTTCTAAGGGGATTTAAATGATGCCCAAATGTGCCATTCCTTCTTTACAGCTAAGATCTGTGGGGGGTGGGGGGTGGGGGAGAATGCAATTCTTGGCATACTTGTTGGATTCCAAAAGAGGCAGGAGGATCACAAGTTCAAGTCCCACCTGGGCAATTTAGCAGACCCTGTAACAGATAAATATAGCTGGACAAGGCGGTGCAGGTCTGCACTTGGAAGGCTGAGGCAGGTAGGAAGATCACAAGTTCAAGCCCAACCTGGGCAACTGGGTGACTAAGCCAGGCCTTATCTTAAAATAAAAAATAAAAGGTCTGGGCATGCAGCTCAGTGCAAAGAGCCTGAGTTCAATCCTCAGTACCACTAAAATAAAATTAAATTAAAAATTAACTAATTAATTAAAAATTTAAAAAGGGTTTGGGATGGAGCATAGTGTGAAGGCTCTCGGTTCCACTTCCTATACAGCCAAAAGCAATAATTAACAACTAAATAAATGGCCTGGGGATGTCACCCAGTGGTAGGGCACCCCTGTGTTTGATCCCCAGGATTGTCAAAATAAAATGAACTAATAAATAAATCATTTAAAAATAGGGACTGGTGACGTTGCTAGATGATTAGAGCGCCCCTGAGTTAGGCCCTTCCAATACTGCCAAAATTAAAAGAGAAAAGGGCTGGAGATGTAACTCAGTGGTTAGAGAGCCCTTAGGTCACATCCCTGGGACGGCAACAAAACAAAACCAAAAAAGGCTCAGAGGGAGACCCGGTGTCTTCCGCAGCCCCAATCCCAAGTCACAGGAGGGAGACCGCCTTGTACACTAGAGAAGCACCAGGCTTGGGCTGGGGACCAAGCTCCGGGTCCTGCACAGGACGCAGCTTCTCTGTTTCTTCCCGCTCTCTGGGGACCCGAAACCCAGGCTCGCCGGGGGATTCCCCACACCCCGACCGACGCGAGGGGAGGCGGCGGGCTGCGGCGTC